TTAGTTTCAGGTATAAAATAAAGCAATTCAGCATTTTTATACCTTACAATGTAATCATCTGTCACCATGCAAACTTATTACAATATTATGACTATATTCCCCATCACCTTTCACCCATCCTCCACCCCCCTGGCAACCATCGTTTTGGTCTTTGTTTCTATGAATCTCTTTTTGTTTGTTTGTTTGTTTTGTTTTTTTAGATTCCATATGTAAAGGTAACCATGCCATATTAGTCTTTCTCTGTTTGACTTATTTCACTTGGCATAATACTCTCTAAGTCCATCTATGTTGTAGCAAATAGCAAGGGGTTTTTTATTGCTGGGTAATATTCAAATATATATATATATATATATATTACATATATATATCGAATCATTTTTATCCATTCATCTGTCAGTTGACACTTAGGTTATTACATATATAAATTCAAATCATTTTTATCCATTCATCTGTCAGTTGACACTTAGGTTATTTCAATATCATGCTATTGTAAATAGCATAGCAATGAACATATGGGTGTATATGTCTCTTTGAACTAGTGTGTTCATTTTCTTTGGATAAATACCCAGAAGTGGAATTACTAGGTCATATCGTAACCTGCCTGGCAAAAACAGTGGCATTTTCAAAAGGATTTTCAATGTGACTATTATAAATAACTTAAGGTTATATGATTAAAGCATTGACCAGTAAAAATAATTGCTAAGGGTAGTTTCTAGCAATTAAAATGTAATTTATGAAACTAACACATACCTAGAAAATTTTAAGCAAATTTTTCTTTTTTTTCCCAAGATTTTATTTATTGATTTTTTTTTAGAGAGAGCAAGGGAAGGAGAAACAGCAAAAGAAACAGCAGCGTGGTTGCCTCTCAAGTGCCCCCTACTAAGGACCTGACCCGAAACCTGGGCATGTGCCCTGACTGGGAATCAAACCGGCAACCCTTCGGTTCTCAGGCCAGCATTCAATCCACTGAGCCAAACCAGCTAGGGCTAAAAATATTTTTCTTTATTCATGGTTTCTCATGTCCTTGACTAGGTCAGGCCATAAAATTGAAAACAAACTGTTAGGTACGACAGCACAACATTTAATTACTTTTCTCTTTGTTCTCTTACATATATATAAACATTTATGAGTATGTAAGGAGAATGTTAAGCTTCCATACATTATCTATTAGATTATAATGGAATGATAGAATTCCATTCTATGGAATGGAATGGAACAATGTACATTTGCCTTCTGGTCCTTTAGCATATTATTATTTATAATTTAGCTGACCCTCAATAAATGGCATTACATAATTACTCAGCCCTGATGCCAAATGATAAGAAAATGCTAATCAAAGAATCCTCTATAAGCACAGAGTCAAGGGGAACTAATGCTATTTTTAAATATTCTATGCCTTAATTCTAACTTCTCTGGGTAAAAATAATGGATTGGTATTATGAAATTTTTAAAACCATTTTCTCTTATTTGTTTCCACTCATACCTTGCTTAGCTGTACCTTTCACCAACACAAATATAAATACTCAGGAAAGTAAGCCAAAAATTAAAATTTTGGCTTACTTTCAATTTATCTTCTCTCATAAGCATTTCAGTATTACATGTGAAGTCCCAATCAACATCGAGTTTAGGCCTATTTTAATCCTTCTTGGGATGTCAAGCTGTACAACCCTAATTAACTTGATGAAAGACTACAAAACAAAATTAAGGAACCTGTGAAGAGAGAGGATTAATCCTATTCACGGACTTCTTCATTGGCAGTTGAATTCTAGAAGTGACCTTCTTGTCCTATCAGCTCACAAGCATGCAGAGTGTGGAGAGATTAAGTGCCTGCATCCCCCTGGTCCCTTAGCTGGTTAGCAGTTTAATACTGTGAAATTAGAAGCTAGTAGCATTTTGATGTTTTCAGATACCAGTGCAAGTCATAAACCTGAGTTGAAAAGTTCATTTTATATATGACTTGTAAATTCAATCTCGCTGTTATTGTGTGCGTGTGTGCGCACACCTGATGTCTTGTGTTGGGCCTTACCATGGTAAAGCATTTTCAGAGGTCACCAGTCACTGAAATTACATTCCTGGAGAAGCCATTCTTGATGCTCCATTCAGGGCATTTTGACCATCTTGTTTTCTTTTTCTTTAACTCATAGAGATCCCACAAGATGAGGAATCCATTTTGAGAAACATGTCACAGAAACTTTGAAATGTAAAAAGCTAAGCAATTAGTGTCAGATTTTCCCTTGGGGAAAGAAAAGATAAGAAAAGTTAATATATGCCACAGGGTGTACTGTAGAGGTTACTCAAGTAGGCTCTGTGATAGTGGCACATTTTGTAAATGATAGCTTTTGACAGAGCAGCAGTCTTCCAAGGGAGAGATTTATGCTTTCTTGGCGTCATTGATAATCTACATGACACCGGCTTCCATTCAGACCTGGTCAGGTGTATTCCAAAGGCTCTTGAATTTATAACGTATTTTTGGAAATTTACAGGAACAGAAAATTTATCAAATGTCATACATTTAAGAGCAAAACCAAATTAAACACAGGTATAATCTCAAGGTGTTTTTGTGGATTTAATGTACCTAGTTTTTCCAGAGGCTCATTGGTTTCTGTCTCTGCAATGTGAATTTAACTGGTTTCAGCATAAGGTTAAAGTTCGATAAACGTGTGATTACCCACCGTGTGCCCAGCAGGGTGCCAGGGCCCGTCCATCACACAGGCCACCTTCATGTAATCTTCCTGTATACACCCTCTGAGGAATTATAATTCCGGTGTTTCAGATAAAAGGAGTCTCACAAAAGCTGTGACTCATCCATGATTGTGACCAATCAGTGGCATCGTTGGGATTGTAAATTAGGCTATTTTACCCTCAAATCTATTATACTTTCCAGTAAAATTAACTTATAAGGAGAAAATCTTAAAAACACTACCTCATATGCATTTTATTGAGATCAACAGTCCGATTCACCAAAGGGAGACTTTGGTACCTACTCATGAAGGGAGGCAAGGCTTTGGGGTCAGGCCACACTGGGGTGAACTCTGGCTCCTCAGCTGTGGAGAATTGTCACGACTTTGGGCTGAGTTGTTTGCATTTTAACTTCCAAGCTTCAATTTCTGCATGTACCAGTGCTAATAAAACACATTTCATAGGGTTGTGATGAAAATGGAGTAGTACAATATTGAATGTAGAGCATTTATCAGAGTTCCCAGCAGACAGTGCAGGGTTATTTTTTTAATTATTTTTTCATTAAATTTATTGGGGTAGCATTGAGTAATGGCATTATGTAAATTTTAAGTGCACAACATTACAGTTCAACATCTGCATGCTCACCATCTGAAGTCCAGTTTCTTTCCATTACCATTCCATTGACCCCCTTTTCCCCTTTCACCCGCCTCCACCCCCTGCCGCTCTGGTAACCATCATTCTGTTGTCTGTATCTATGAATTTGTTTGCCTCTGTTTTGTTTGTTTTTGGTACTTTTTGTTTTATATCCCACATATGATTGAAATCAGATGTTTTCATTCATTTCTGTCTAATTTCCAGTTGGCCTAATACCCTCAAGACCTGCCCTTGTTGTTACAAATGGCAATATTTAGTCTGTTTATGGCTGAGTAGTGTTTTACTGTGTATGTACCACATCTTTATGCAATCATTTGTCAGTGGACACTTACATTGTTTCCATGTCTTGGCTATTGTAAATAATGCTGCACTGAACGTAGGGAGTACACATTTGGTAGAGCCATTGTTAGTAGCACAGTAAACATAGTGAGGTAGGAAGGAATGTACATATTGGTTAATGAAAGATATTATTGTGTTAGGGACATCTGCAGACTGTCTTACTCATAAAATTGTATTGATCTCACTGAAGATTTTTAATGATAAACAACTCATATAGTATTTATAACTTTATGTGATTTTTAAAAGAGATTTTAAAATATGAAGCCATATTAAAAGATTTTTAGATTATGTCCATATTCTAATAGCTGTTGTTAATGGATTTGGAATAATGGCATGAATAAGTTCTACTTGGGGAGTCCCCCTTTAAAAAATGTATACACACATAATGATATATATTCTTTAAATTTATACAACTTTTATACAATAGTTATACAACTATTTTGACAGACTCTTAGAACAATTTCTCCCCTAGAAAATTATTCACTTTCTGCTAGAGTTAATGTCTTGCACAGTAGATCAAAACGTTGTTTATCAGCCAGGAGAAATTAATTTGGTTTTCATTATATGTAGCTAAATTAATTTTGTTGAGAATTATAAAAGAAAAAATTATGCAACTAATTGGTGACAGAGAGGTTAGGACTTTAAAACCTTCCTGATACAAGGAGTCTAGGTTGGGAATATACAGGATCAGTCTTCAGTTGCATAGGGATGCACACATATGTATACTAGTAAAGATTGATTATATTAAAGTAAGCTGAAGTTTTCCAAAATCTAAATATAACCATAAAGTTTCATTTTTTAAATTTCCTGCAGATATTTAAAAATACTTCTATACAGACTTGGTCAAGATAAATCAAAGTGTTTAAAGCAATAACCTTGGATATTTGTTTTGGATGTTTGTGATATACCGTGAGGATGAAAGTAGAGAGAGCCTTGTATAAAAGCATGAATTTTAAATATAGAGTCTTTGCAGATTTAATCTGTCATGAGAATGAAATAGATAAATGTAAGAATGGTTCATCCTTTTAGGGATAAGCTAAATTTCTCTTGCTGGAAGCTGACTTTTGAAAATGATGTGTATCTTAAATAGGATTAAGTGGATTCAAAAAAGAAAAATATCCATTTATAAACATAAGAGGTGATGTATATATGTGTATTAATATGTGTTCTAGGGTATTCATACCATTGTTACCATTTTAATTAATCATCTTTTTTTCACAAAGCAGTGAGTTTTAATATTCTAACCTTTAGGTCTTTAATGTATGATCTACATTGTAGCAGGAACATTTAAATTCAAATCATAATCCCATTTCCACCTCTTTTCTCAGATGATGAAACATGCCTGGAATAATTATAAACGTTATGCCTGGGGATTAAATGAGCTGAAACCTGTGTCAAAAGAAGGCCATTCGAGCAGTTTGTTTGGTGAGTAGAATATACTTTGTGTCACTTGTCACAATACAAATGACTAATTTCTGTTTAATTGACTCAGCTTGTGGGTAGTGTAGACATTTATGTGACCCTCCAGACCATGTGGCTAGGACACGCGCACACCCAGTGAATTATCTGAACAGACTGTGTAGAGTTTGTCCTCCCGGCAGAGCACTGGTGCCTGTTAGAACGACCTGCGTACCTTAAAAATATTGATACCTAGGACAGAGCTCCAGAGATTCCAATCTAATGGGTATGGGTGCAGCATCGTGATTTCTAGGTCCCAGCGTGATGCGGGTGATAACCAGCAGAGGAGTATTTTGTTGGCTGAGTTAACTGCCTCCTATCAGATGAAAGCTGTGTCTTTATCAGTAAGCTGGCCAAGGCAGCCAGCCATGGTGATCTTCACTGTATCTCAGTGACTCTCAACTTTGGCTCTAGGTTTCTCCTGTTTACAACATGGATGAGAATGTGAGGATATATTAGGTTAGTTATGTGAACTTCCATATATCCTCCCTGGCCCTCTGTGGGCCGGTACTGTGGGTATTAATAGCATTCCTGTTCTGGAGGTGAAGACACTAAGTAACAGAAAGCTTAGTTGGATACCTTGGGTCACAGAGGTACCCAGTATTCTTTCCCCTGCACTGGGTTCCTTTTTAACCCTCACTGTTTAGTCTGTAAGTAACAAGATGAAGGGAATGAAGTCTTACTCTGACACTTCCAAATTCACCATAGAAAATGTTACTTTCTATACTTTAACTGAAAGTGTCAAATATAGCATCAAATCATATAATAAACAACAGTAACAGCTGTCACCATGTGTCAGGTGTTAGACACCTAATAACCGGCTGAGGTGGGCCTTAAACCCAGGTGTGGGTACAGTCTGAGTCCTCCCAGTCACCGCACTGTGCTTTCCATTCATTTAGGATTTTCCATGTGTTTGGCTCTACTGCCTGCACTGGTGTTAATAAATACAATACAAGGCTTTGCAGAGTTCATAGGGCACTGAAGAGACTTACGTGTAAATACTGAATTATCAAAGCTGTGGGCAGTTCGTAGATGTTCATATGAAGTTCTGAGGAACCAGGGGGATCTCAGGTAGAGGGAAGGGCATGCATTGCAAGAACAGGAAAGGAAAGCTGGGAAGGGTGGAAGAAGGCCTACCACAGTGACACATTTTAGAGAAGAGGAGAGCCTAAACCTGGACTCGTGGCAGTTAAGAGGATTTCAGATGTTTCTTAAGCAGTGTCTTGAGAACATGGTCAGCAGTTCACACAGGTGATGAGCAGTGGGCATTGAAGAGAGAAGCTTGGAAACTTTATGCAGACTCAGAAGCCTTTATTTTTTCTTTGTTTATTATAACTTTTTAAATGTAATTTCATTTTTGCTTTTTTCTCTATGAAATTTTCTTATACCATTAAGAAATCAGTTATGTGTTAAGTTGTTATAACCAAACATTATTTGGTCCTATGTTATATTGATGGTTTTTAAATTTATTATTGAACCTTAAGAACCTACTAAGTCTCTTACTATGGAATATAGAGATAACAAGACATGACTTCTTGATTTTAAGGAAGTTTACAGACTAAATGAAATGCATGTAAATAATTATTATAGAAAACAGAAAGGACAAAAGCAATGTAAAGTCGAGGGAGCTGAGAGGAAATAAATCAGAGTCAGTAGTGATTAGGTGAATGGAAGGGGAGGTCAGGATCAGTGAGGGCTTTAAAGAGGGAGTTGAATTCCATGTTGGAGTAATAGTTTCTTAGAGCTATCACTAAATAAGCTTAGAGCTAATTCTATTTAAACAGTTTTATACAGGTGCACTTTGATATAATTATATTAAAATTAATATGTGTGTTGCTCCTATTTTTTTAGATCTATTTTTTCCTGCTAGAAAATGCAATCAAAAATGAAATTTCTAAGAGATTTATTTTCTACAACTCAGAAGAATCTTTAAAGATTAGTGTATCCATCTATATATAGCCTGTGAACATTTTTCGTTTGGCTTTGGTGCCGTTTTTAAGTTTTCTTTCACTGGAATGACTTTAGACTGTGTTCACTATTACTGTTCATTAATAAATTCAGTATTACCCTCTCTCCAGAGTATGGTCAATTTGTATGTATGGTATCTGTTGGAAGTAATTTACTGAACACAGTTTTTTCTGGTATTTTCAGGTAACATCAAAGGAGCAACAATAGTAGATGCTCTGGACACACTCTTTATTATGGAAATGAAAGATGAGTTTGAAGAGGCAAAATCCTGGGTTGAAGAAAATCTTGATTTTAATGTGGTAAGTTAAACAGAAGTTTCCAATCCAGTCTTTAAATCTCAGTTAACCTGGGTGGATTATTGTGTTGTGCCCTCGCAGGAAGAGATTGTACAGCTTTTCAGTAGTATAATACTACGTTCCTGAGTTGTCCTCCTGTACGACACAAGTATGTGCCTTTGGTTTTTTGGCAACTTAAAAGTAAGAAAAAAGAAATTCATGTTTATCTAGGTCTGCGTGTGCCAAGTAATCTTATTCAAGTCCCACAACAGCCCTGTGAGCCAGGCATTATTTTCACACCTTTACAGATTAGAAACCTCAGCCTCGGAGCTCTACCCAGACCACACCGCAGTCTGCACTGTGCACTGTGATTCCATGACAGCTGTGTGGCTTTAATGCTCAGGCTTCGCACTAAGCCAAGGTGCATTGTTATGACTTTGTTAAATTAACATTTGCTGTGGGAAGCACAGGGTGCCAGATGGGAAGCTGCAGTTTAACAAAAGACCACAAGAGAAATTAAAATACAGAAGTTTATTACTCACAGGTCCCAAGGTAGTGCAAGGGTTGTCCCCGGGGGCCACAGAGGAAAGTCAAGGCATCTACAGACAGACTATAAGACAGCACCTGGGGCACATTCCTTTATTAGGGTAAGCAGAGTGCTTTGGAGTTTCCAGGCTAAGGCCAGGTTGGTCAATTCAAACAAACAAACAAACAAACAAACAAAAAGTGGGGTTTGATAAGCTCTACTGGCCTTTTCTATTTCTAAGAGGTCCAGGAGGGGAAGGCCCTGGGGGGTCTCATCACGAGGGCTGTCTGAGGAATCATATAAGACACTTACATTTTCTTACGACTCCACCAGCCATGCGTTGGCATAAGGGATGGCCTAATTTTAGTTTAAGGTGTTCACAGGCCACCTGGCCGTACCCAGCTGATGCGGAAGCAGCAATACCATGGTGTACCGCAGCCAAACTCCTGACACATCTCCCCCAGTAGCTGCCTCCACTGTCCCTTAAATAAGGCTTCAAACTTCGTTGACTGTATGCTCAATGATAAAATTTTGTCGATATATATTTTAAGTGTTTTTTAAACTTTTGTATGTATACTGTTACTCTTAACAAATACCTCAAAACCCATTGCACACCAAGGAAAAGATCCCAAATTAAAGATAGTGGACACTTCTAACACTTCCTAATAACTTTGATTCAGAAGGAGTAAGGACTTCACGTGTGGGGCCTCGTATTTAGTTCAAGTATCTGTGGAGGTACACAGATCTGCACGGAAGACTAAGGATACACTCCAGTGGATGAGTTTTCTGGCTTTAATTTAAAAATAATCCTAGGACAAAGAATCTAAAACAGACCCTTGGGTATTCCTTACTCATTCATTAGTTAATTCATGCATTAATTATTTACTAAATATCTTTTAAAGGTTAGGTACTTACCCTCCTAGAGCTTATAGTCTAAGAGAAAATGTAGTCCTAGTACCCAGCTATGGCTGATTTTCTTGAAAAGGCAGAAAGGACGAGGAAATTACTACTTAAAGAGTACTGGGACATATTAGGTAATCTCTTTTCGTGGGCTATGTTATTTAGTCTTTGTGATAACCACACAGGGGGAAGGTGGTATTTTCCCTATTTTTATAGATGAAGAGGTGTTTGCATTGTCTGCCCAGAATCATGCAGCAAGAGCTGTGATTTGAATGGGGTCTGCCTAACTCAGTGGCCCTGTTTTTGTTGGAGAGGAAATGCAGAGTTGAGAAGTACATAGGTATAGAAAATTTGAGTCTTCCAAGGTTAGGTTGTAATCTTGGTATCACAGTGCTCATTAAGTGCATTGTTCCATTGGTATCCAGTAAATATTAATTAAATGAATGAGAAGCGGAGCTGTCTTGTCCTGCTTCCTGACAGGCTCAGTGGAAGACAAGCCAACAGAGTGTGAGGGTGGCTGTAGCGTTTCATATTTTTATATGTTTGAATTGATCTGCAGTTCAAGTGCCGTTGATCTACTTGGTTTTACCTACCCTACTTTCAGAATGGATTTGTGCTGACTCCTATGTTCATTAGCATAAATACAAATGATCAGGAGGTTCATATTTGGGCATATGTACTGAGCTCCCTGTCTTTACTATCACTTTAAGGAAGTACTGATTACCCAGATCCTTACATGAGGAATATTGAAAACTATGAATTTTATAGGCCATGTAGAAATTTTCTCCAGATAACAATTTCTTATGTAAACTCTTAGTAAAAGCCAAAGTTACATTAAAATTATTCTTAAAAAGCTTTGTTCTATGTTGAGGTAAAGTGACATCTCTGTACAAGAGGCCAGGTGTTACAAATGACAAAGGAAGATGATGGGCTTGCTCTAGACACTAACCAGTGACACGCCAAGACTAATCTTTGACAGGCACCTGGATTGTGTCTTTGATTGTAAAGAACACCATATGTTTTAGGTAACAGAGATACTGGTGGCAAAAGTGAATTTGCTTCAAAGTTCCAGGCTCTTTTTTTATCTAGTATGAATGCTACCCTACTTTACAGGAAAATAAGTTGTAGGGTTCTTTATCTGAAGGATATAAATTGACCTCAAGAAGTGGCTTTGGATTTTGTCAAGTGCCTGAATGAGTACTTGACTAAAAGTCCGGAGCTCTGAGGCACACAGCCCTGAAGAAGTGTGCCTTGCCTCACCATTGCACTTGTAATAGGTCTCTCTTAGAGCTACATCCCAATGGGGTGTATATAACCAAGTTTACTGTCCTGTTGAATGGAGTTATGTAATTTTTTCCATCTGCATGCTAATCAGTGCTTGCTTAAAGTGATGATTTGGGTTTTGGCTTTAAGAGGATACTGAGCAGCTTTCTCTGATTGTTATTAGTGATAAATCAGGCTGCTATTTAAGGGCCCTTCTGGACCTGCATGGTAAAACCACCCTATTAACATAGAAAAGACATGTATTTGCCTATCTCTACGACTCAGAGAACTTACGTTTTGTTCATCTGAAGAGGTTTATGGTGTCACTTAAATGGGAAACTAAAAACTGCTAGGACATATGTTACGCTAAGTTACTCTGTTTAATATTACAATCTAATCTGTTAAAATGAGTTCTATACTTATTTTTAATTTATTAAAATGTTAATAAAACACATACTTTGAAGTGTTTTACAAATAAAGGTATATACTAAGCCTAAACATAGGCAAGGCTTATAGGCAGCTACCTGTCTTTAATCGGTGGCTTTGAAAAGTTTCATGTTCTCTCAAACATGTTTCTCAGTAAGAAAAAGCATAGTTATAACATGTTAGTAGTGGACAGTTATTATTAAACAGTCATTGCACTGGATTGTAGTGGGACAGTTGTTATTACAGAGAGTTAATATCAGATCGTAGTTGAGCAGTTGCTATTAAACATTGTTACTGCATTGGTTTGTGGTGGGAAAACCTGCTTGTATCTCGCATACGGGAACAAGCTGAGAAATCCAGGCTTGTCATTATTGAGTAGAAAGCTGACAGGGAATTTGGAAGAACAGCTAGTAAATAAGTAGTCTCTGAGAATTATTACAAGAGGGAGAGAGAGAATTACCTTTTAAAAAGTCTCTAAGAATTAGTATCAAATACTCGGAGTACAATTATCATATTTTTAAAAATAAAAGTTCTTTTCCAGGAGGGCTATTTTCAGTTTAGTGTGATCAATTGCATCTGTCAAGCTGTGTGGAATCACAGAATAACTAAGGAGAATTCTGGTACAAGTTGGATTCTAAATGATTGTCATAAGGCTTGAAGGTGCAAAGGAACAACATATCCGTCCTTTAGAGGAAGCTCTTACATCTATAGTCAATACTGTCAAGTCTGTTATTTTATTTACTAAGATCTATTAAAACAGGTTGTTTTATAGATAATTTTGGTGAATAGATTGGTTATTAAAAAAATACAACCTAGACTCTAGCTGTGTAGCTCAGGTAGAGTGTCGTCCCAACACACCAAGGTTACAGGTTCTATCCCTGATCAGGCCACGTACCAGAATCTCCCAATGAACGCAGTGAATGCATATGTAAGTGGAAAACAAATCTCTCATTCATTCTCTCTCTCTCTCAAAATTCAATAAACCAAAAACTTTTACAAATACAACCTACCACATTTCTCTTGAGTTATTTGAAAGCTATCATGTCTAGTGGGAGGAGGTCTTTCAGGTACTTGTACTGAAAGAGATATTTTGAAATACTCATTTTCCCACTTACCCAGATCGGGTTAGGATCTTCACGCCCATGAGCTCATGATGTGTTGGTTTGAAGAAAGCCTTTCTCAGTAGAGAATGGAAGATAATGTTAAAGATTGGGGGAGGAAGATATACAAAATGGTTTATTGACTTAACTTTTTTTTTGCTTTTAGAAATGTTTATCAATTTAATAATTTTATACATATGTATATCAAATCAGAGCATAGAAATAATAGGGAAAGGGATAAACACTCAAAGTGGGAATTATCAGTCTAAGACACCCAAGATAATTTGAGAGATTAGTACTGAAACCTAATTTTACTGTGATTTTTAAGACTTAACTCTCGATTTTAGGTATAAACTTAGTTCTGCCATATATTTTATTACATTTCTATATGAATTTAGTTAAGGATGTTCTTTGAGTCAGAGGCTATTGGTAGAAGAAAGTCAAAATTAAAGAGTAACTTTTCCAACCCAAGTATTTTTGTGAATATGCCTATAGTCAAAACTTTCCAGCTTCCATTTGCTCATCAGTTGTGATATTAACGGAGAGGTGCTTGCCATTTAGGCCTGGATCTGCATCTCAAACTGCAAATCACATAGGACTGTGTACTAGAAGCCATAGAACATGTAGGGCAGCTCTGGAAAGCAAGCACAGAGGAAGCAGACTGCCAAACTCACTTTTACCCGTAGGATAAATCCCTCAGGATTTTGGTGTTGCAGGCTGTTTGGGCTTCCCCTCGTACATGCCGTCCTCTCTCTGTCCCAGCTCCAGTTCTGTCATTAGGGTAAGTCACAGAAAAGTTTCAGAACACGTTAGAAGACACTACATGAATATTAACCGGAGGAATACATTCATTTAAATTTAATAAGATTACTTTAATTTTGGAAATTGAAACCAAAGTTTATAATAATGGCCTAAGATCCTCATACTATAGAAATTGACTTTTTAAAATCCAGATGTCATATAAATTATATCAAGCCCAAAGGGAGGTTTGGTCAGGATTCTATATTTTAAAGGAGAGATTTTAGCCTATGAGAAATAACAACTCCCCTGAGGGTCAGAGATGGATCAGTTTGCATTAGCATTTAGAATGTTATGATTCCAGTGTTTCTGACTTCCCAGCAACCTCTCCGGAAGGTGACTGAGGCCGAGCGTCTCCGTACAGCAGCAGTGCCAGCTGCTCTCTGTTGAGTGCTTTACCTGGGTCAGGCGCTGTGCACCCTGCCGTACAGTCCCAGACAGATAGTGCCTTGTAAGAGATGCATCGTTCCTTCCACAAATGAGGAAACCAAGACTCACAGAGGATACACGACTTGCCCAGGATCTCCCAGTCTGCCAGCTCCCTAACCACCTTCAGTTGCAGGTCTTTCTGCCCCTAGGGTAGTGTTTTTATAGTCAACTACCCCCAGTATAGCCAAGGAGTCTGTCGCAGTGGGAGAATTGTTATCTTCTTAGTCTTTTTTATCTAAGGATCTTTAAAGAGTGACCTAACATGTCTACATTTCAGTGTTCTGACCAAAGATGTATTATAACCCAGAAAGTTGAAAGAGCTCTCAAGTTAACGTTTCTAAATAATTTAGATTTCACTTTGAAAAAAAAAGAAAGGAGAAAAAATTATATGTTGAGCATTCAAATGTAATTCTAGTTTTCAAGGAAGCTGTGATGACTGTTGAGTGCAGCTAATGGTGAAGTGACATTCCTGAGCCAGATTTTTAAAGACAAGGACAGAGCAATCACTGGGATGCAGCGTGGATTCACTAATAGCCAGATTTGCTTCTTAGACAGGCTCATTACACTATTAGATCCATGAAATTCAAAAGGCAAAGCAACTGACCTTGAGCATGGCACTTTGCAAGGTCACCTCTCAATATCTTACAGATGGAGCGGGATAAATAGAATTTAGGGTCGAAACTATATGGCTGGATCAATAACTAGTTGAACAACTGTACCCAGCAGGTGATTGATAGATAGTGTCTCAATAGATCACTCTGGTGGTGTTTGAAATGGCTCAGTCCTCTGCCTTGCAATAATTCTTATTAGATGTCTATATCAAAGTATTGGTTATCTAAGATTTTTATAGGAGAAAGAGAGATTACATGTCTAATGAACCCATAGCCAAAGTAAGAATATAAAATCATCTTAACAGGTGTCAGTTGACAGAAATGTGGAGAACTGTTCTCAGGTTTAAAAACTGAAAAACACAAGTACAAATTGAGAGTGATACAATTTGAGGGTTTAGATTCTTTAGAGTTTTATTATTATACATTGCTACCCTAAAACATAAGAAATATAGCTGCATGATCCAAAATAAATTCATGGGTTCCCTTTCCTCTTTCTTATCAGCAATTTTGTGGCATACTAAAACTTTTACAAATATTGTCATAAACTCATTAAGAGTGATATACCTCAGGGATAAATTACAGCTATATAGAGTGATTTAATTACATTATACTAGTGCCTATTTCAAATTATGAAACACTCACCAAAGAGTATTTTAATACTTTTCCATAACTCCAGCCCAGTAATTCCGCCTCCTAAGTAGCTTTCATAGTTTTTTTGCAGGAAATATTTTGAAAAAAAATTTAACTTAAGCAGTTACTTTCAATTGTTAGATCCTTATGTCTTTTTAGAGAGATTATGTAAAACTGAATGAGGATATATTTCCTTTTTTCCTGTAACTGTTTTCTCCCACTACAGTGCAGACTCTAGGAGTCTAAGGAGCTTGTCAGTCCTTATTGCCGTGACCCTAAAACCTAGGACAGTCCCTGCAACATAGAAGTTGGTTAATCAATGTTTGTTAAAGGGAATTTTCAAAAATCTTGGGTGATTTGACTAAGTTTATCTGATAAATATTTACTCCAAATATTATGATTTTCTATTCACCCCTATGATTTGAAGAATATTAGGCAGAAGTGAACAGTTACTGAGTAAGCCCAACGAACATGAAAAGAAGATAACTAGAACTTAAGGTATGCCTTACATTTGTCATAGGTTAGCTGTACTAAATTATCTAGTAAAAGAATGCAGGAACAATGAATGCCCTTAACAGTCATATGTTATAACTCAATAAAAATATTGGCAGCAGTTACCAATTATTGCCACAGTGGTATGACCAGTAACAAAGAGACTTGGTGTATTATCATGGGAATTGATACTGGAGTTCAGGTAGCAGAGCCCTGGACCTAGAATTGAGTACTCAAGTTCAAATCCTGATTTAACTACTTATTAGTTGTCTGACCTTAAAAAGTTACAGTAACCATGATAAACCTCAAGCTCTCCATTTAAAATGGACATAAGGATAGTAATATTTTATAGGGTTGGTATGAGGATTAAAAGACATAGTAAAGAGCTCCTTCTTTCTTTCTGCTGCATAGAATTCCATTGTATATATGTACCATAATTTTTTGGTCCATTCATTTACTGACGGGCACCTAGGTTGCTTCCAGCTCTTGGCTATTGTAAATTGTGCTGCTATGAACATTGGGGTGCATAGGTTTTTTTTGGATTGGTGTTTTAAGGTTCTTAGGATATAATCCCAGCAGTGGAATTGCTGGGTCAAAAGGCAGGTCCATTTTTAGTTTTCTGAGAAAAATTCCATACTGTTTTCCACAGTGGTGCCAGTCTGTAATCCCACCAACAGTGGATTAGGGTCCCCTATTCTCCACAATCTGTCCAACACTTGTTGTTTGTTGCTTTGTTTATGATAGCCATTCTGACCAGTGTAAAGTGGTATCTCATTGTGGTTTTAATTTGCATCTCTCTGATAGCTAGTGATGGGAGTAAAAGACAGAAAACTGTACTTGAACAATAATTAAATAAAAAAATTTAAAAAGACATAGTAAAGAGATCAGCACAAGATATGGCATGTTGTAAATAATAATAATAAAATCAAGCTACTATTGATATAAACAAGAGCTGTTTCAGCAGTGCGCACCATGAATATGTTTCAGCATCGTACGTCATGATCATCATCTCCTTCACAAAAAGACAAAATTTCTTCTCAGGTGTGACCATTCCAGGGTGCAGGCAGAATTTGGGAACCAGACCTAAAACCAAATCCTTAGACCCAAGTATAAGTCTAAATGGCCTTTCAGGAAGAAAGAGTAAACGAATAAAAGGAGAACACAGCATAGAAAAACAGAATGCCCTGGCCATAATGCATCTGCACAAATAGAGAATACTGAGCATTGTATCTGCTGTTGATTAGAGGGAAGAAATAACATAAATAGTTTGCGGTTGTTCTCTCGTGAGTTGTAATTACTTTACCTGTATACTTTAACAAGATTTTTCCCTTCCACATATAAATCTCTCTGGGTAAGCATATATGACTTGAACAAAACGTGAAGATTTAGTGCCCTTTATCACAATGTTTTTTCCTCAGTTATGTACTGTCATTTATATATAAACCCCCTTTGTTTTGTTTCTGCAGAATGCTGAAGTTTCTGTTTTTGAAGTTAATATACGCTTTGTTGGCGGCCTACTCTCAGCCTACTATCTGTCTGGAGAAGAGGTAATAAAAAGTGGCAAATAGGTGTACTTACAAAATATCTTAAAGTTACATTTTTAGGGTAAAATGTGCTTTTGTGGCATATATTTAAGGATATCTACTGAATTTTCATATTTTGATGGGCCTCTTGCATATACTGAATTTCATAAAATATGTACTAATTAAATGGGCACAGTGGCAGTGTTTGGCAGAACATGTAGTCAGGAAATGGTAAACAGTGCCTTCGGAAAAGCCTGGCTCCATTATGTTCAGGAGAGTGTGGTTATAACTACAAATTATGCCCATGGATAAGATGAAGAGGTCTAGTGTAGTAGCAGGCTTGTGGATGAATTTTTCCCTTTAAAAATTATTTTAACATTAGTATAATGTTAGAGTAATAAAAAACTTTTTAAAATGAAGAAAGCTTGGCAAGCAAGACTCAAAAATGACAGCATTTAAGCAACCGAAGGGCTTTAGTGAGCTAGTCAGCCTTCCAGTGAGGAGTCTTGTCTGCCAGTATCCTGGGCAGAGTGCTTTGGAGCTCTTCCTGGGCGAGGCTTAGTTCATCATCTGCAGTTGGGAGCAAAGCAGGAATTTTTAATTTCACTGCAGTCTGTTTAAAAACAGATTTTTGTATCATTCTCATAAAGAGTATGGATTTTCTTAAAAGGTTTTGGACAACTTTAGGAGTAACCTAAGTGTCCACTAAGAGTTGTTGCATGGGCCACACCTGTAATGTTGACAATGTTAAGAGCTGACATCATGGAAAACCAGCCATGTATTTCAGTTACATGTGACTCAGATTTGTGTTAGCCTCAGCATTCTAGCTAGAGGAAGAGTGGATCTCACCTAGGGTGGTATTTCATGTATATCTGTGCTCCTTCAAATGGGTGAGGTGGAGCAATAAATGTTTAATAAAGAAAAGCTGCTTTAACATTGTTCTGTCTCAGGTACTTTCTTAGCCATAATAAAACAGCCTGCATAATCTTAACATTTTCTCTCTCGTTAGATTTTATGCTACCACAGAGTGTTTCGGTTGTATAGATGGCTTCTGCATTCCCCTTTATCTGTCCTGTGTATATCTTAAAGTCTGTTCCTCATTACAGGCTTTGTCACCTTCTCGGCCAGGGTAAAGAGAAGGCACCCTCTGGGACATTATACTTCCCTTTTTCCTGGCCCAAATAATTTCATTTGTTCAGTTTGGTTTAGGGTATTCTAAGCATTAAACCAGGGAATCCATACTTTTAAAAAGCAGTACTTAAAATTTGCTGATGTTATTTTCGTTAACAAATTTCTGCTTTACAATACTTAAGAGTATGCAATGCCTGGGTGTTACTGGTTTCCACACGGCAGATTCAGGATGACCTTTGTTTTAACTTTCTTCATCATTTTATGTGGAGGTGAGACAATTTAGGGAAAATAAAGACTGCATGCATCCTTCTATATCTGGGCTCAAATAAGTTCATCACGAGTACAAAGAGAAACAAAGACATGTAATTCTTCTAAATGTACATCATGTTCAATTAGGATACTTTTCACATAACAGTGTTTTAAGTTTGTGCACATATATTTATGTATGCTTATTACTGACATATAAGTATTTACATACTTATATAAATATAATACCCACAGATACTATAGTTTGCCTATAGACAAAATCATTTGTCTATGATGTTGGAAGGGTACTTTTTAAATTTTATACAGTGCTTAGCTAACCTTAGTAAACAAAGGACGAAAAAGAACACTTCCATTGAAAACTACTATTTGTTTTGTGTATTTGCCTGGTTCCTATCCCTGTGGAAACATTGCTTTTTATTATATTTAGATTTCCTATACCTCAATTTTATTATAAATAGTAATATATTTTCTTTTATATATCCTTTTTATTTTTTGTAGCACACATTTTAATTGTAGTTCATAATAATCATCTTCTTAATATAGTTTTTGCCTAACTAGTCCCTAAACATTGAGCAGTTGGGTCAGTTTCAGTATTCTTGTATTTTCAATCATGTAACTATAATCAGTCAATAAATACTTATTTTCTAAAGTGGGACTGCCAGGTGAAAAGTGACTAGTTCTAAACGGTTTCGGCATCACTTCCTGCTTCTTCCTCCCACTTCCCTCATCACTGACAATCGCTTCTCACTGACCAGGGCACTCGGGGGCATTGGCTATCAGGAATGTAACTAGAAAAAATTATTTTACTCCAAGCCTATGCTTGAGGTATGTCTCTATGTGAAAAGGAAGAAAACTGAACATTCATTTAATAAAAAGAACACCAACACACCCCAATTATGAATAAGTTGATTTCAGATTGTTGATAAAGTTCTATAACACACACTTTTATGAAGATCAAAGTATTTACTATGATAATCTAAGAAAATCTATCTTCCTAAATTATCTCATAGAGGAGCTACTAAATTACCATAATTTAACATTCTAATTTCATCACTGAGGCTCAGGAGTATTTTGAGAACATCTTATAAATCATCATCGGAAGTGTATAGTCCCCCATTGATACAAGCTCAAAATTTTTAAACTTATATTACAAAAATAGAAGAGGAAGTACCACTGATTTGTGTTACATGCTCCAGGAAAATTATAATCAGAAACACTGAACAACAATCAGGAATGCTAGTGGAACTCTAATCTATAAAAAGAACAATGGAAACATTAAATACCTATAGTAAACTTTGATTTCTAGGACATATTCAGAAACTTCAAACACCCTAGCTCAGTAAAAATGTCTTGTAATGCCATTGGGAGGTGAATGGGGAGTAAAGCCACAAGATTTTTAAAGTCTATATAAGAAATGCAAACAACCACAAACACTACAAACAGGATGGAGACAAGATGAATACTAAATAGGAATAATCAGTATTAAAGATAAATCAAAGAAATAGCATTGCTCTATTATGAGCTCAAGGGAATTTAAAGTCCTCATTGGAAACAGTAAATAGCAGCATCTGGAATATCTTTATCCAAAATACGTTCTACAGATCATCAGTTTCTTTAGACATGACAGGATAAATCTGTCTGTATACATACTAAAAATAAGCCAGAAAATGCTACATCCTGTATTCTTTCTTAGACATTCACAATGCACAGAAAACCAAGTGAAATAAATTTTATCAGTCTCTGTGTTTTCCATGCTTACTTAGCTATAATTCCCCTCCTTTTTTATGTAACATCTTCTAACAATGAGTTATAAATATTATTTCCCAGAACAAATTTTGGAAAACACCATTAGTAGAATAAGAGAACCAAAGCAACAAAATGATATTGAAAATTGGCTAATGTAAAATAAGACATTGCAAGAGAAGATAATACATGTAGAAATAGCATGTATGAATATCCTACATATTATTTGTTTAGAGCAGAAACCAATGGCTGTATTGCACAGAAAGTGAATTCAGCAGGACACAATGATGCCACAGAATCAGAAAGAAGGCTGAAGAACAGGTCAGATCTAACTCTCTTGAGTTGCCACAGAGGATCTCTCTGGCTTGACGATCTCTCTGGGACATCCTAGAATTAATAAACATGCACTATTTTTTACATCCTTGTCAAAAACAAAGTCCCAGAAGAATGAGGTCACTTGACAGTTATGGTTACATGCAGCCCCTTGGGAACCTTGGGGAATGAAAGGGTGAAGGGTATGATAGATGCAGTCTTCCAGAGGCTTTGAATTCAGTAGCCTGTGAAGGCCAAGGATAAGGAAGTATGAATAACTCCTGAACAGCAAAGTGATGCCCTTTTGGAAAGGTGGGGAAAACAAATGTTTGGGAGCCACAAACTAAAACAAAGGAAAAAATATATAAGTCTACTGTGGGAAAATAAGGTTGTCACCAAAAATAGAGAAACTTACAGAAATTGGTAACTTAATGAAATGCTTCAAAAAACTTGCCTGAAGTTTTTGAAAAACTACTTTATCCTGCTCATTTAAAGGGAACATTTAGATCTAACAAGATATTTGTTTTAAGTGTGTGAACTAGAACAAAAGGCCAACTCCTGGACACTAAAAAGACTGAAGAACTAGCTTTTGAAGAGAAAGGGTAATGAGAACATCTGATACAGGACTGGGGAAACACACACACTGGATTCTCACATTAGTTCAACTTACTCCACCAAGGTGGCCTTCATTTGCAAGGCAACAAAAGGATTCTTTTCCCCAAGTTCAGTAGAAGAAATCTGCTCCACACACCAGCACCAAAGACTGTGAAGGAGTTACTGAGAAAGAGACTAGCTGATACCACCGAGTTTAAGAATATCAAGGGGAAAGCATGTAAGGAGAGGGTGGGATTGTGGAATGGGAAAGGGAGAACTAAGATTGAGTTTAGTTCAGGAAAGATCTATTGTTTTCTTGTAATAGGATTTGGATTTGGGGTGTTTAGGGGCCTGGACATGGATGTGGTAGACTTTTTCTAGTGGTGATCATAAAAGTGTTTATAAATCCCTTAGAAAATTAGGATGCATTGATGGGGATGCATTTTAAACTCAGTGTTTGAAATAGTCCAACTGTAGAGAAAAAGTCACCTCCCAGACCATCCTCCTGCCAGTTTCTGCAAAGAAATTAAAGTGACTCACAGAAAATATATAATATATACAGAATTGTGAAAAAGGGAATAAATTCAGAGAATACTAAAGTCACAGGAAAAATTAGCAAACAGTTGGTACAGCAACTAGGCTTTTGGCCCCTACTTGTCTTCAGGTTTCCTCACAACCAAAAGAAAAAAGGGGGAGAGAACTAATAGTAATTTGGTTTTACTATTTTTGTGAACACTAAAATTTGATAGCATAAAATAACTCACATATAATATTACCTGTATACATACTAAAGTTCCACAAAGATAGAACTCTCTGGAATAAACTAGAAAAATCCAACAATTTCATTGGATCTACTAGAAATACATTAGTACTCCTTCCCCAAATCCTACCTAAACTTGAAAAACACGGCCTGAGAGATTTATCCTGCACTCTCAGATATATGAAAGAGAGTTTAATTATGATCTCTAATAAAGATT